TCATTAATTTTTGTACGGAGTTATGTTTGGTACAATATGTCTAGATTTACCATTATATACATTATTACAAACTCTTACAATAGTAGCATGATTATCACAGTATATTGTGATTGACTTATCATTTTTAGCCACATTTGTAAGTCATATAAACCATTCTTAAGCAATATTGTTTCTTCGCAAGCATAATCTAGAGCAATAATTTCTGACTTCATTACAGAGCGTGAAATATAAGTTTACTTAGTTGACCCCATAATACCACACCCTAAGATAAAGTAAAATCCATTCGGATATTGATAAGAATTTAGTTGGATATGTTTGAGTAGTGCTATATAACATCTACATCACCATGGTTTTTCCTCTAGATGAGCAATGAACTCAGATTACGGTTTCATGGAGAGTGCTAAAACTTTATGAAGACAAAATCTGGTATAATGTTTCCTGCATCCGAGTTGAAAATATGTTCCTATGAGAGAGAGAGTGAGAACACCACCAAAACTAAGAACAAGATAATAATGTATTCTGAACTATTTCTATTAAACTATAACTATATCTCTGGCTCGGCACTTGGAGTTGTGGCCCAAATTAGACTAGCAGTTGAAGTGTCTTTATAAGAGTGATAAAGGGCACACCTGGGCTTGGCCCTGGCCTGGTCCTTATCCCTAGAGGGCCGGCATTGGTGCTAGCCCGGCCCTCAGGCCATAGTTTGTGGGCCAGGCTACCTAGCCCATTGCCAATCCTATGTCTTTATCCTCAACCCAAGTAATTTGCTTGAATTTATGAAGTACTTGGGGCATATTTTTCTTGGGTTTTGATTTTCTTAGGGTATATGTTCATCCTAAGATTTTGGTTTTTTCAATTACCAAAATACCATACTTGTTTCGGCTTTCAAATTTGGAACAAGTATTTAATGATAATATATTCTGAATTTGGGGTGTGGAACAAAGAGTATTAGGTCATTTGACTCAAATAACTTAAGTTGACCAAATTACGAAATTGTCTTTACTTGATTACTGTTTCCAACCTAGAACAAAGGGAAATTGAGTACCAAAATTACTAAGGAGATTCTAAAACGTAAATATTTTTTAAAGCAAATACTTAATGGGTGCAGTTTGTACAGAGCTAAGGCTCTAAACCATCAAAGTAAAGCGCACATTCAAATAGTCTCGATAAGTGTGGCTTCAATATTGGAAATCTTTGTGATAGCCTTAAAATATATTTTCATCTCTAATTATATTATTTAGCGCTTAAAAAATAGTGTAGATCGAACAGATCTATGAAAACTTGAAAATCTTGAAAACTGACAGTCCAAAATCAATTTTTTTCTCTTGTCCATACATCTTGAGGTGGATATGATTAATTTGAGGATATTTGGGCATCAAAACAACCTCTTCTAGTGAAATTTTTGAGGTGTGCCCTAATTTGAGAGTTTAGAGCCTCGCACTTATATAAACCTTTTCCATAATTGATAAAATTGTTGATTTAATCAGCTCACTGATTTTCTAAGGTTGCTTGCTAATTTTCATGATATTTTCTCAAAGTTCTATTGTCTTCGGTCAACAAGAGAGAGGTATAAATGGTAACCCAAAATTCTTAACACTGGAATTATCTATCTTAAAAAAATAAAGGAAAAAGAACATAGGATTGTGGAAAGGTAAGCCTTGTGGAAGAATCCTAACATGTACCTTGGTCCTTTAAAGCTTCCACACTAAGGAATTGAAGGGTAGACCGTGAACTCACAATAACAAATCAGCATTGGAAAAGAGTGGGACCATCGCCAACTAATGCCTTTGTGTCTTAAATAATTATGTTCAACATGTTGATTTCCTTTTAAGAATATTCAAATGTTTTGAGCTTTTTAGATTATTTATTCAAAAGTCCAAACAATGACATGTCAAATTTTTAATATTTAAACTAAAAAAAATATCAGCTTCCGTGGGATTAAGATACATATCAAATTTTTAATATCACTGTATGCAAGATTTCTTATTTCCGGTGGAGCATTTTATAATGGGAAATTTATGAAAATCGTCATGAGAAGTGAACTATTTAACATTTTATTTTATTACAATTGTTCCAACTCAAGATCATGTAATTTTTATGGGTATTTTAAAATTAAGTTAAAATACATGGGTAAGATGCTAAATTGTTCATCTCTCATCGCTAAATTGATAGACTTCCCTTTTATCATTTTGCTCCATCGAGTAAAACTCAAACCACAAGCATTTTTAGGAACCCATGTTTTGGGATGTAATCTCTTGAAGATGATGGCCCAAATAAGTAAATATATTTTAATTAGGCTCTGCATGTGCTCAAGAAAATCAACATCCAACTATTAAACACAAACCGTTTTAAGTGAATCAAATTTCAAAATTAAAGATTATTTTTTAAAATAATCATCGGTTGATTCGTAGATGGATCCCAAAATTCCCTCTTGTAAAGGAATCAAGGTTTGGGCAAAACAATAAAGAAGAAAAAAGTGTCTAAAATTAAAATAATAAAATATCAAGATTTACATGGTTTTCCATTTGCCTACAAGCACATAGCAACAAACTTTTTTTCCACTAATAAAAAAAATACCACTCAAAGATGGCAAATACAAAGTTTTTCAAGCTCTCACTCATAAGCCCTAAAATAGGATTTTTTTTCTTTACTAGTTTTGTTACGTTTCATTCTAGGATTTAAGAGCTCACAAAAGTCAAGTAAAAAAGGAACTAGCCACGTGAATTCTAATAGCAAAAGGATTTGGTACACATAATAATAGGAAAACTTCCTAAATAATAGGAATATGGCTTCACCCTTCAATATACTCCCACTGAAGACATTAGCTTTCTAACTAGTATGCTCCAAGAAAATGCTGCCCCCTTTACTAATCCTCATGTAATCAAAAGGAAGTCGTACTGCAAGGGTGCACACATCAATCCGAGACCAAATAGACTAGTGAAAGTCTGATATGTCTAAGATCATGTGTAAACTTAGTTATTTAAAAGACTCGATAGAGATGGGTCCTTTCAAATTTATATCTACAAAGAAATCAGTCCAAAAGACCTATTCTTTGCAGATCAATGGCTGAGCCGGCTTAGATAATGTAAAATCTAAAATAAACACAAAAAATAAAAGAACATATTTTAAAAAAAAAAAACAAATAAATCTACTGAACCAAATAAAGACAAATAATGACAGCACTAAGGAAAATAATAAGGCAAAAAAAATTGATGAAAGAAAATAAGAACTAACTAAGAGAAGTAAGGAGAATAATAATAGAAAGCATGAATAATAGATCTAATGAAGAAAATAAAAATACCAATAGAGAAAATAATAGAGCATATCAAATAACAAAGGAAAATAAGAGAATAAGAAAAGAAGAACCCGGAAGCCGGCCCTTAGGCCCAGGCCCGGATCTGACAACAAAGATGAATCATTTCTCCTTAAACTTTGAGAACGACTATCCTTATTGATTGATTGTGCACTTAAGGGAAGGGAAGGTAAGGGAAAGATGCTTAGATATCCTACATCTAGTTGGTTGGAGCAGGGCAGGGTTCTAGAACTAGCATTTGAGTAGCCTAATGCACCTAGATGAAAAACAAATCTCCAACCCAAGCTATCTTCTCTGAAAATTCTAAATCCCCTAACTATCCTTAGGAAATAAAAAAGCAGAAGTATCAAAAAAATCCATTGAAATCCAAATTACCTAGGTTATCCTTAATAAACCCTTATATCCAAAAAATCAAAGGAAGGGATTAAGGCAATGAAGAACATCAAAACTCTAAAAAATTCACCTTGGAACCGATTGACCTCGGCCAATTGAATTGTTTAACATTGGCATTGAGGCTCGTGGTTTCTTCTTAATTAAACCGAGCAAAATGGGGCTAAATTTCATATGTAAGACTGTGTTGAGTCCTCCTTCAGGTTTGTCTGCAGATCATGTTATTCGAATGGCCTTTTGGAGTCGAAATACACAAGCTTGCACATACAGGCACACGGGAAGAGGATAAATATCAAGAAGAACAAGAAAATCTGGTTAACTTAGAAGAAAATCTGGTTAACTTAGAAGAGTGATGTGGAGAATACTTTGCTACACTTACATATGCAAATTGCTAAATCTATTAGCACCCCATTTCCATTTTTTATGCATAAAAAATTGTCTTCAAAACAATGTACTATAAATCACATATGTCTCCAAGTATCATAGTAGGACTCTCAAGTTTGCTATGGTTAGCACCTGATATGACATAGCACAAGTAATGAGAGTTGTGAGTAGACACATGGTAAATTTTGGATATGATCACTGAGCAGTTGTGAAGTAGACCTTTCATTATTTGAGAGGAGCTTGTAATGTTAGTATTTGTTATAGTTGGATGGATTGGAAAGTTATTGGTTATATTTGCAAGTGACTTGGATAGAAGAATGTTTACCATCTGGAATGTTTTTTTTCACGAGGAGGTGCAATTAGTTGGCTATCAAAAGTATAATCTTTATGGCTTTCTCTTTGTAGAGCCTGAATATATTGTCATTTACTCATGCATCGAAAGAAGCAATTAGCTAAACATATTACTTAGTAAGTTCTGAGTTGTAGAATAAGAGAAGCCGCTTTACTATGATACCCAGGGTGCCTTTTTTTTAACAAGAAATCTTGCTTTTTATGATAGGGCTAAGCACATTGATACTAAGCACATTAGAAAGGAGAAGTTCACTTGGTGCTTTAATTATTTTTTTTGAATTCCAAAATCCTGGAGCGTACTATCCTAGTACACGTAGGATAGACTTAACCATTGTCCTTGACGTTCAGATGATCGATTTGAGATTTTTGTTTTTCGGCATCAAATCAACTTTTTAAGATGTATTTTAATTTTGATTGTTTAGGTCTCACCTTATATAAACGTTTTTCTTGTTAAATGATATTCTTCGAAGATTTATCACTTTGTTGATAAAATAGTTGATTTGAGCACTTGATTAAAATAGAGAGAAACAGACAGAGAGAGAGACGCGTAATTAGTAAACTTAGAAAGGACACCAGCACTTGATAAAACGTAAAACCAAAACCGTTCAAACGTTCCGCCTTTTTTTTTCATTATTAGAAGGAAAAGATCGTACAAAGACGGACCATATAAAGTTGAAAGCCCTCAGATTATTTTGCAAGTTCTCTGTAAATTTCGCAAATTTCTTTGTGAAATCGACATGAGCTATCAGGAAAAAGGTCGCAATGACCCTTACCCTCCGCCAGGTATACTCTTTCCCTGTTGTGTTTTTCTTTTTTGGGTTTTAATCAGTAAAAAATCTATGATATTCCATGTTTATCTCCCTTTTTCTTGTCCTGAGCCTTTGGGTTGTCTTTGAACCAGAAGTATTGGGTTTTATTGAAATAAATTTTCACTATATATGGCTTATGCTTCTTCTTATTTTCTTTGCTTTTCTTTTGTCTGATATTTTGGGATGTGTTTGAACGAGAGATCCTTGTTTTTTTTCTCACTTCCTTTTTTATATAGGATTTAGTTTTGGGTTGAAGTTGATATCGTGGGTTTTGGTTATTATTGTTTTGTTTGATCTTTTCGGGTATAGACCTCCTTACCAAACCACTGTATTTTTTAATTTGCATATTTGTCTGTTTTTTCTTTCTTTTTAGGCTTGAACCAGAGATAATTGGGTATCGTTATTTGTGGTTTTGCCTTGTTTGATTGAATGGGTTACTACACGGCTCATTTTTAGTTTTGATGCTTGTTACTTTGCTTCTTGCTTTCTTTCTTTTTGAGAATTTGCTATGAAGGATTTTGCGTTTGGGATTGTGGTTTTGTTTGTACGTTACCCAATCGAACTGCCTCACATTATTTATTTGATTATGGGAATCTGAAATTTTATTTATTTATTTTTTATGTTTGTGAACAGAGACCATGGATTTTGGTTTGTGATTACTGTGGTCTTTGATTTCCCATTTTCTGCTTTCTCCTCTATTTTTATTTCATTTCTGTATTCAGAATTTGGTTGGGTCTGAACCACGTCGTTGCTTATTGTTTCTGATGTGTTGCTTTGCCTCGTATACACCCCAATGCTTTGATATTCCATTTTTTGACATTTTCCTCTGGAATTTCATTTTGGGAGTAGTATTTGGTTTTTCTTTTTCTGATTGTTTTGTTTTTTTAATATGTAGGGTATGCAGCGCCTTACCCACCCAATGTTTATCCGCCTCCACAAGGGTACCAAGGCCCTTATCAAGGGTACCATCAACCCCAATCGCAGGGGCATTGTTGTGAACATGGCAGCCCACCTAATTATCAACAAGGTTATCAGGGTTATTTTAACCCGAATTACCCTCCACCACAATACCCACCTCCGCAATATCCTTCTAACAACTATTACTCAACGCAAGACCAGACAGGGTGTGGCTCATTCCTAGAAGGATGGTAATATTTGCTATTTATGTTTATTTTTTTAACAATTTTATTTTTGTTTTTTATGGAAGTTTGAATTATGTTTCCCACATGCTTGGAATTCTCCTATGCTTTCTTTTATTTTATCTAGAATGTGCATTGCAGTTGTATGAAAGATTTCCTTCATTTATGCTTTTAGTTTCCTATGGAAATGTTTGTTCATTTTTGTCTTCACAGTTTCTTGGCTTTTAATAACCATGCTGACTTTCTTCCTCTATTTTTGATTTATAGTTTCTCCTTTTTTGTCTAGATTTTGTTGTGATGGTACTGAGAAATTCTTAATTCGATAGGATATTTTTGTTTTATGGGGCAGGGAATGTTTGGAAATACAATGTAAAACTTTTATGGGAGATAGAGTTACTTGCAATTATGTTACATTTGGTATGCCAGTGTTGTCCTTTTTTGTTGGGTGAAATGATACTTGGGGTCTGCTTAAATTTGGTTATAGAAAATGGTGGTTTTCTACAATAATTGGTGTGGTAGGGAGCTGATTGAGTGTTTCTATCACTAGAATCATGTAACTTTGGTTGCAAATTACTTCTAACTGTGAAAGGGTAGCTTTTAATGGTTCATCTCCTACGTAATGAACAACGACGATGACATAAGCTAAGGCATACACCCTATACACATACAGTTTACACTACTTCTCCTTTCCATTGGATTGAGACAAAGTAGTCTGGTGCCCTCGGTTTAGGTTGGGCTTGTTTAAGGAGGAAAGGACTTAAGGATTATGGTGATGGGCCCTTAAGGGATGGGATGCTCCTGTCAATTTATCATGATGGTTGTCAGGTGTGTGTGGGGTTGTCTTTCATCCTTCTTTTAGGTGGTGCCTCTTGTTTGGGCATTGGAAATTAACTACATCATTCCAATTGGGAATCATCTGAATCATATAGTTGCTTATTCGTAGATTTCTTCATAATGTAGGTGGGTTAGAGTAAGTGGTGGATCCCTTTTAATGGCTTTTCATTTTGTTCAAAGGATTTGGCCCTTTCTTTTTAAGTTGTTATCACAACGTGGTCCTCTTTGCTATGGTTTGGTTGCTTCATTTGCTTGTGAACAAGCATGCCTTTCACCTTGCGGGAGCAAATATTGTGGTCTTTGTGCTAAACTATTGCTCTGAGGAGGATGTGGAAAATGGGAGTACTAGGATCTTGAAGGTGAAAGTATCTCATTGTCTTTTGCCATGATATGCATATGTATAAGGAGTTTTGACATGCATCTAGAGCCCTATGCATGAGGCACATGCACAATTTCTTCACCATGCTATTATGTATCCTTTAGAATCTCTGTTTGAATATGGCATACAAAATCAGTTTTCTAGATTCCTTAGCCTTGTTATTCTTTAATAAAATTGATCATTTATCGAGGAAGATTTTCTCCCTTGATATGGTTCTCCTGCACTTTTGAGGATCAACATCTTAACTTGCTTTCTCTAGAGAGTTATCTTTTGGGATTCCAATCTTTTCTCTATATTCATTGACCTTGATATGGGCATTAGTTGTCTAGGACTTCCAACTAACTCTTATTTGGGACTTAAGGATCTTGTGTATATAGGGACAGATTCACTGACTGTGTCCCGTAGCAGATTGTTCTTCAAGCTTTTACCCTTTTTTGCAATATATCTGACTTCGCCCTTGTAAAATCGAAAACTCAGTGCAAAACAGTCTTTGGGTGTGCATTATTTAGTGCTTGCTTTTTGGGTTTTGTGCATTTTTCACCTAGGATCTTTATTCTAGAATCTTCTTCTTTGAGCTTCTTGGCCTTTCTCTCTGTAACACATCTATTTTGGGTATGGTTTCCTCTCCCTCCCTCTCTCTCTCTCTCTCTCTCTCTGTCACATCCCAAGAATTTACAATACTAATATTCCTGAGATGTGACAGTCAAAATTGTCACACCCCAAGAATTTACAATACTGTTACTCCTGAGATGTAACAGTATTGTAAATTCTTGGGGTGTGACAATTATGGTATCAGAGCAATAGGTTTAAGATTCTTAGGAAATTTAAAAAGAATGTACTTAAAATCACTTTTATTGCGTGTACAGACCGGGACGAAGTCAAGATCCAGAATAGCTGAAGCTAATATGGAAGACTTTAAGGGGGGAAGAATGTAATAATCCTAAAATTTCAAAAAAAAAAAAAGAAAAAAAAAAAAGAAAAGAGAGAAAAGAAACTTTGAATAAGTGATGGTCTACATGAGCATGATGGTCCTTAGGGACCATCACTATTTTCAAAAGCTTTTGGTTTAAGCTTTTCCTTACCTTTACACGTCCTTTAGTTGACGTGGGGTTTTAACATTTCAGGAGTAACATAATTGTTACACGTCATGTATGAGGTGTAACTTAATAAAATAATATAATAAGTGTTTTAAGAATTTAAATAGGAGAGGTGAGGATTCCCACCCTAGAAATTTTGAGATCTCTCTTTAGTCGAAATGCAGTGAGCTCTTTCTCTCTC